TGAACTTTAAGCTTGCATCATTCTCTTTGCTTACTTTAACCCAATATCTCTCTCCATAAACTCTATATTTTGAATTTCCACCCCAATAATATATTTGAGCTTTGAATTTGCGTATAATTTAGCGTTACTCCCATGAAACCCAGTATTTAAAAAAAACAACTGTATTAAGTGGGCCATTTTCTATACTTCCTGACGGCTTGGGAAAATTTAAATTGCACAACAAACGTAGGTATATGTGTATTAATTAATATATACTTCATAGCTCTGTTTAAGTATATTGCTTATCTGCATAAGCAGGCTATCGAACGCATATACAGTTGCTAATATTTCGTTATTTAGTTTATATTTACACTAATGTGTGTGTAAAAGTGAACATTGAGCGAATTTTAAATACGCTCCTTGATACTGAGCACCTTGATAAATAGAAAAGACATTATAACTATATATATATATATATATATATATATATATATATATATATATATATATATTCCATTTTCGCTCATGTATCAAATGTAAATGTTTTAATATGACCAATAATTGTCTTATGAATGAACAGAAAAAATATATTTAGACATAGATATTCTTAAAATCATTATTATAAAAACATAACATCATTGTCAAAAAGATAACTTAAACATTTTTTTTTATTTGAAAATGTTTTTTTTTTTTTTCAATTCTTAAATTTTACTTTTGATTTTGAAAAATCCTTTTCATTTATGCAAAATTCGCGTTTACATCTATAAATATTTATTTTAATTTGGCAAAATTTTACTTTTGAGCGAAAAAAAAATTTACATAACAGAATGTGTAGCAGGATAATACCCGCCCACATGTTATCCGTGCTACTCAACATGAAGAGCAAGATGTTCGACAACACGTAACTGGATAGTGTAAAATCGCCACATTTTTCCCCTTTCAAATGAGGAGAAGACTCTTGAGTTATTCAGTTTGACCAACTTGAACAACTGAAAGAAATGTTGAATAATACATGGCAGAATTTTATTTGCTATTTCCATGATAGCACGCATGCGGTATTGCATACCTGGGATAAACTCCAAGGAGCAAATACATTGTATTAATATGGGATTTTAGTCCTTTTGATAGACCCATTATTTCCAAATCTCGGCGCAGAGGGATCTGAATATTTATTGTAATTAATTCATATTATTTGTACATTTAATCTTTAGTAAATTGGCAAACATATTCAGAACGTTGCTATTTTATTTTCAGTCGGTGTATCTTTATATTGCATTAATGTTTGCGAACAAATCTCAGACAAATCATTTGCATAGTTTCCTGCATCCATCGATGTAACAGTAATGCCCGCATGCAAGCGCTCAAAATGCGCATTTCAGCTGTGAAAAATGTGTGATTTCCTTTCTTCTTCTCCAATATTTCGCGTTTCCTCTTTGTTTAACAGCTCATGTTCAGCACTTGAGCAAACATCAGGAAATGTTGGGATTTTAATCCATTTATTTCTTTCATTTTTCCACTTACTTTTTTTTTCTATCGTTCTTTGCTATTTATTTATTCTTCATTCCCTTTATATTTTTTTTGTTTTACTTATTCATGTTTTATTTTGCTTTCCCTTTTTTTTATATTTCAGTCTTTCTTCTGTTTCTAATTTTTCTTTCGTTTTTCGCCTGTACCAATGCACATTTTATTTTATTTTTTTTATTCCTCACCCTTCTTTTTTTTTCTACCTCTTCTTTATGTTTTCCGTCTATTACTCCTTCTTTTTTCTTCTTCTTTATTTCTTTCTGACATTCATTTTATATTCATTTATATCTGTTCCGCTTTTCCGTCATTAAATCTATTTCTTTTGAAACTCTTTCATTTTTATTCGTCTAGTGTTGCTTTCTATTCCTTCTTCGTTTTCTTCATTCCACCCTTTTTATTCACCTGCTCACAGTAATTCTACTTCTACGTCTATTCTCGTTTTCCTGTTAGTTTCTTCGTCGTTCGCTTTCTTCCAATAAAACACTTCCCTTCATCTTTTAACATTTTTCTTACTTGCTTTTCACTTTCTTCGTTTTCCTTTCCAAACATAATCCCTTTCTACTAATCTCATGCTCTCTCTTACTATAATTTCTCTTAATTCTCTTACATTTCGTCATCTTATTATTATTCCCCTTCTTCTTCATCAACATCTTCTTCTTCTTCTTCTTCTTCTTCTTCTTCTTATCTCTTCTTCTTGTTCTTAAGCGTCTGCTTTTACTTTTTCTTTCTTCTTCTTGTTCTCCTTAAGCAACGGCTTCTTTTTTCTTTTTCTTCTGCGTCTACTATTTGTTCCTATGTGTTTGCTTCACCTTCTTAAGCGTTCGCTTCTTATTCTTTTTCTTCCTCTTCATCTGTGTCTGATTCTTCTTTTTCTTCTACGTCAGCTTTTTTGTCTTATGCGTGTTCTTTTTCTTCTTCTTCTTCTTCGTCTATGTTTATTTTATGCGATTGCTTCTCATTCGTCTTAGGCGTCTGCTTCTTTCTTTTTTTCTTCTTCGGCGACTGCTTCTAATTCTTTTTATGTGTCTGTTTCTTCATTTTCTTTTTCATCGTCTTCTTCTCTTTCTTCTGTGTTTCTTCTTATTGATTCTCCCTATGTGTCTTCTTCTTTTTCTTCTTCTTCCTCTTCGTCTACTTCTTCTTATACGTTTGCGTTTACTTATCCGTCTGCTTCTTTTTCTTCCTATGCGTCAGTTTCTCCTTCTTCTTCTTCTTCTTCTTCTTCTTCTTCTTCTTCTTCTTCTTCTTCGTCGTCGTCGTCGTCGTCCACTTTTTTTTTTCTTCTTCTTATACGTTAGCTTCTTATACGTTTATTTGCCCTGTGTATTTGCTTCTTTTTCCTCTTCTACTTATGCGTCTTCTTCTTCTTCTTCTTCTTCTTCTTCTTCTTCTTCTTCTTCTTCTTTTAATGCATCTGCTTTTTCTACTTAGATGTCTGCTTCTTCTTTTCCTTCTTCTTCTTCTTCCGTGTTTTCTCCTTCCTATTATTCGTCAGGTTCTTCTTTTTCTTCTTCTTTTCTTATTTTCTTTTTTTCCTTTTTCTTCTTCTTCTGCGTCTGCTTCTTCTTCCTCTTTCTCTTTTCATTTTGCTTATTTTTACTTTTCTTATTTTCTTTTATACTTCATTTTTATTTTTAGTTTGTCATTTTCATATCTTCTTTTTATTTTTATTTTACTTCTTTTGATTTTTTCTTTCTTCATTCCCCCACCCACACAACTTCTCTTGCATTTCTTTCCTTTTTTTCTTTCTTCTTTTCTTTTCCTGTTTTGTTTTTATTCTGTTTGTCCATTTTTTTTTTAATTTTTCCTATACACGCCATTCTCTTTTCTTTTTTCATTTTTTTCTATTTTATTTGTTATTTGTCTTCTTGCTTTCCTTCATTTTTGTTCGCGTGATTTTACATTTAACGCTCTCTCGCTTTCTCAATTCGTAAATATTCATCCCTTCATTTCGATTTTTGTTCTTGTAGCAGTTTCCTCGGAATATTCTAGACCTATCCTTAACTCACTCTTTTTTTTTTCGCAACCTCCCCATTTTTGTCGATTGTTTCCTGTAATGCTTCTCGTTCTAACTTCGTCCAAAGAAAATCTTACTTTTCATACGCACATTCTTCTCGAATTCCTCATTTTAGAAGCATTCTTCAATATAGAATGATATACATTAACCGCAACTCCAGGGCACACTGAAAAACACCGAGTTGAAACTAGAACAAAAATCCTGAAGGACACTTCTTTAACTGACACACTTTTCTATTTTCTCATCCCTCTCGATGAAGCTCCTCCCTTGTAAACTTCCCAATATGATTTCTTTTCCCTTTCCTCTATTCTTTGACACATCTATTTCAAGTATTTCCTCACGTTTCCTTTTTTCCCCCCACCTTTTCTCTATGTTTTCCATCTATTCCTGCTTCTTTTTCTTCACTTCCATTTTTTTCTGCATTTATATCTGTTCCTCTTTTTAGTTTTTTCTGCATCTTCTTCTTCTTCTTCTTCTTCTTCTTCTTCTTCTTCTTCTTCTTCTTCTTCTTCTTCTTCTTCTAACACTACCAATTTTCTCATACCTCTTTTATTTTCTTCTTTTCTTCTTCTTCTTCTTCTTCTTCTTCTTCTTCTTCTTCTTCTTCGTCTTCTTCTAACACTACAGCGCTTCCTCATACCCCTCTTTCTATTACTGCTTATTTTCTTCTTCTTCTTCTTCTTCTTCTTCTTCTTCTTCTTCTTCTGCATCCGCTGCTGTTTCTCTTTTTTCTTTTTCTACTTCTTCTTCGGCGTCTGTAACTTCTTCTTATGCATTTTCTTTATGTCCCTCTTCTGTGTGTTCTTCGTCTTTTTCTTCTTCTGCGTTTGCTTCTTCTTCTTCTTTTTCTTCCTCATCTTCTTTTTGTTCTGTTGTCTGTTTCTTCTTCTTCTTCTTCTTCTTCTTCTTCTTCTTCTTCTAAAGCGTCGGCGTCTTCTTCCTTTTTCTTCTGCATCCGCTGCTGAGTCTTCTTTTTCTTTATCTACTTCTTCTTATGCGTCTTCTTCATGCCTTTCTTCTGTGTCTTCTTCATCTTTTTTCTTCTGCATTTGCTTCTTCTTCTTCTTCTTCTTCTTCTTCTTCTTCTTCTTCTTCTTCTTCTTCTTCCTTTTATGTGCCCCTCTCCCTCTCGCTCGCTCTCCCTAGATAGATAGATAGATAGATAGATAGATAGATAGATAGATATGAAATACTGGAACAGGTAAATAGATAGGAAAAAATAGATTAGTTCGATAGATATGAACATAGAATCTCTTCGTTTTCTTCGCGTATTTTCCACAACCAATAAATAGTACAGTGTATTATTCAGCCTCGATCGCTGGCTTTTTGCTTTTCTTCACCTTTGGACCCAAACGACTTCAATCGAGAAGGTTTTGCTAAATTCAAGTGGACACGTCGGCGAGAGGAGAATCTTTGAAGTAAGGTCAGCGCCACAGACAATGAAAGAAAAGAGAAAGTTAAAGACATTCAAAAAAAAAAATTAAGAAAAATGTTTCAGAATCTCAAAGAAAAAAGGAAACAAATTTGAAAGAAAATTTTTAAAAAGACAGAATAAGTGAAAGACGAAAGAAAAAGAAAATTGATTTGTGGTTTCAGTTTTTAGAAAAATATATTTTAACAAACTAAATTGGATAAGCAATGGCCAGAAAGAGATAGATAGATAGATAGATAGATAGATGACCTAGATAGATAGATAGGAAACAAAATGAGATAGATAGATAGATAGATAGATAGATAGATAGATAGATAGATGAATGAATGAATAGAATGCGATAGATAGATAGATAGATAGATAGATAGATAGATAGATGAGTTAATAGAATGCGATAGATAGATGGATGAATGGATAGATAGATAGATAGATAGATAGATAGATGGATAGATGGATAGATAGATAGACCTAGATAGATATGAAACAAACTGAGATAGATAGATAGATAGATAATAGATAGATAGATGAATGAATGAATAGATGCGATAGATAGATGAATAGATAGATAGATAGATAGATAGATAGATGAGTTAGATGAATAGATATAGATAGATAGATAGATAGATAGATAGATAGATAGATAGATAGATAGATGAATGAATGAATAGAATGCGATAGATAGATAGATAGATAGATAGATAGATGAGTTAATAGAATGCGATAGATAGATATATAGATAGATAGATAGATAGATAGGTAGATAGATGAGTTAATAGAATGCGATAGATAGATAGATAGATAGATAGATGAATGAATGAATAGAATGCGATAGATAGATAGATAGATAGATAGATAGATAGATAGATAGATAGATAGATGAGTTAATAGAATGCGATAGATAGATGGATGAATGAATAGATAGATAGATAGATAGATAGATGAGTGAATAGAATGCGATAGATAGATGGATGAATGAATAGAATGAGATAGATAGATAGATAGATAGATAGATAGATAGATAGATAGATAGATAGATAGATAGATAGATATCAGATACTGGGACAGGTAAATAGGTACGAACTGACTAGAATATTTCAATATATATGCACATAGGCAGATAGATAGATGCAGGTGTTAACAGTCTCAGGTATAAATGAATATAGAGTCATAAGTATTTGATAAGCGGAAGTCATATTTTAAATCAAATATTTTTTTTTAAAAATACCGAATTTAAAAACCTGCAGATAGAAAGATTATACGGACAACAGTTTTTTTTATAGGATTTGACCTCTACCCTTTAAACATTAACACAGTAGTATTTAGCTTTGTATTCCTACTATATATTAAAACCAGCTTCCAGTCTATTCAAAAGCCTATTTATATGTACCTGGTCTTCTTGCTTACTAATGCAAAGTTATCTCTATACAGACAAATAAGAAAAGAAGAATGAATTTCTTATAATTAAATTATTGTATATTCACTTCCATATATCATCAGTTAATACCTCTGTGTTGGTATGTGAGTCTTTGAGGGTTTGTTTTTCTTTTCTGAATGTGGATTTTTCTTGCGAAAATGTGAGTGCCTCACAGTTTCCTTGTTTTTCTTTTTTTTGCTCATGAGTTGGGCGCTTATATATCCTGTCACACGGTTGTCCCATTCGTACATATCCCATGCGCAGGCGAATCGAGTACCTGTATACGTGGCAGAGGCAATCACTAACATAACTGTATGAACGGAATTCGTACTTAGATGTAATGCCACCTCTGAGGCTTCTGTAAGTGTCTGCTGTTGACGCTGCTAAATCTAACATACTATATCGTGAATAAGCACCATACTCACTAGGATCACCCACGGATTAACTTCTCATAGAAGACAGGTTCCTTATTGGCTTTAAATTCAGTTCACACCATCTGGGTTCATGGGCTTACGGTGTTTGGTTTGGTTTGGTTTGGTTTGGTTTATTTTGTTTTACGGCATATCAACGTCAAAGGGTTATTTAATGCCGGCAACTTTTTTTTTTCCTGGTAAAATCTATTTATGGTAATATTTTTTTTCCTTAAAATTTATAGCTAGTAATATTATTTTTTTAAAAAAATGTACTGACTGCTAATAGTTTTTATTCTTGAAAAATTTATTTCTGGCAATAATTTTTACAAAGTATTTCTGGTATTAAAACCTATTTTTACACTTTCATAAGGTTTTTTTACTTCAATTTGGGGGTTAACTATTTGCCCATAGCTGGGATCCTAACAGGTGCTATCCCCCGCCCCCGGGTCAGGGTGGACCTGGGATCACCAGCAATTAAGAAGACGTTCCACGCTCCTCAAAACCTCCTGATTACAGGCCTTGCTGTAGCACGTAGTTAATCGTCTTACCCTGGACGTGGATGTAGTTTATCTTCATACCCAGGATGGGGGTTTGTGGTGTGCATCACATGCTACAATGAGAGTCGAGGCTGCGGAGATGTGGTTCTACAGCAGGATGCTGAGGATATCATGGACCAAGCGTGTGAGCAATGATGAGGATGCAAACAAGGAGGAAGCATATGCTTAACATAAGGAAGAGGCAGACGAAATTTCTGGGACAGGATGACCTGGAGAATCTGATACTCAGGGGACAAATAGAGGGGGAAAGAGACAGGGGAAAGCAGCGCCTGACATCCGTGGCGGGCTTGGATGGCTGAGCGTGGACTGGGGAGTTAACAGAAATACAAAACCTGTTGAGAGCCACAAGGGATAGGAGAGAAGTTGGGGGCCATGATGGTCTACGTCCTGAAACGACACGACGCATAATAAGAAAGAATTATATGAATGAAAGAGGAAGTGAAGATTATGTAGATAAGGAGAATAGATAATGATTGACCTTTGACTTGAAGAGGTTAAAATTATACTGTTCGTTCCGCAAAGCAGCAATTCTTGCGAGAAACACCGACTGCAATTTTTGCCTTACATTTAGAGTACGGAGAAAATGAGGGTGATTCATGTAAATAAAATGGCTGTCCCTCAAGGTCTAGATAAGAGGGGCTAAAAGAAAGAGTTAATCTGTATATTTGCTATGAAATAGCGAGAGATTAGTAATACGCTTACGACGTTACGTATGTTGGATGGAGTCTACGGAGTCAAAAGTAGATTTTTCCCCCAAATTCTGCATAAACTATTCTAAAGTCTATCAAAGCCTTAAATTAAGGATTGAACAATAGTTTAGATATGGCTTCAATATACTATTTTTGGTCTCATGTAACTCTTTTGAATGTAAGGCATACAATTAGTAAGGTACGTTATAGTGTGACAGAGTCTACCATTTTCTCAGCATCCTTACCAATATATCGTGTACATGGGTTCCACTTGAGGTCTGGAGTGGGTTAAAGCGATTTAAGGCAAGGATATTCCTTGAGAGATTATATATCTAGGTCTTCTCGTTATATTAGGATTATCTTGTAGTACACATTAAATAAATCCGGTGAAAAAATGCGTCCTTTTCTCATCCATCGTTCTAATTTTTGTCAACTTGCTCCACCGTTGCAGTAACAGTCACTGTCTACTGCTCGACCACGAAGTGCGTGACGATAAAGAAAGGTCCTATTTTGCTTTTAAAATACACTCACTCGTTCAGATGTTCCCGAAACGCATATCTGACCAGTTTCGTAACCGAAATGCAAAGAAATAAGGAATTTTCTTTTTTTTAATCCGATATATTTTATTACAACAAAAACGTTATTTTTAGTGAAGATATATGTGAAGATGCTACGTTTATTTCAAAAAGTATTATTTTGCCTACTCGAGTAGTCCTAATGTGACCCCCGACAGTATTCGAATCTGCGGCGCTTAGATGATACTTACTCCTGCCAAATGGTGGGGTGTCCCAGGTCCAAATACCGCCGGAAGGAAGATTATATTTATTATCTTTTTCCATTAGAGAGGCCGTGTAAAATAAACACAAATGCGGGTATCCATTAAAATAACGTTTGAGGCAATAGAAACATGAGTCAGTAAAATAAGTGATACACGCTTAGACGATCATGTATAATGACTAACTAGGCAGATTTTTTCCGCATTACGTTGCCATTTTTTTTCTGCGGTAGACTGGTGGCCAACCAAAGGCTTAAGAACTCAGTCTGTCCTGCTATTCAACCCCTAGCTGGGGGAGAAACGATGGACTTTCGAAGAGTATCTGCGCGCAAGAGAATTTAACGAACTCGACAAGGATTTGAACTCGGCTCATCAAGTTCTCAATCCGAGACGATATCCATTGCACCACAACGAACAGCCCCTGGTCGTCGTCGGAGGTTGTAAAAGGCTAGCTGTTCTATCTTACTCTCTCTACCCCCACCACACACACACCGGCGGCTTTCGTTCGTTGCCGAGGTCATCAACGAAAGGCACACAAACAACAATACAGATATTTATATATATATATATATTTATATATATATATATATATATATATATATATATATATATATATATATATATATATATATATATATATATATATATATATGTGTGTGTGTGTGTGTGTGTGTGTGTGTGTATATATATATATATATATATATATATATATATATGTGTGTACATGGGTATATGTATGTGTGTATGTGGGTACACGCCTATGTGTATGTATATACGTGTATATGTTATTGTGTATGTGTGTATTCGCATATGTTTTTGAAAAGAAAAATATAGGTCCTTGCTAGATTAGATAATCGTTATATTTATTTTTTATATGTTTATATTTCATTTGTAACCTGTAGTTGATATTAAATTTGTCAAATTTTCTTAATTACACAGCGGACCTTTCAGTAAATGTCCTTCAATTTTTTACTTTCCCTTCACCCCATCACTCTCCCCACCTCTTCTTTCCTTTCCTCCTCTCTCTCTCTCTCTCTCTCTCTCTCTATATATATATATATATATATATATATATATATATATATATATTATAATACAGGGTGTCCCTAAAGTCTGAACACATAGACAAAAATGTATACTTAGTAAAAATTTAATTTTAAAGAACATTTTATTGAATTGAAAATAACATCTTCAATATGACTTCCGTCATTTGTGATGCAGAGGTTGATACGTCTGCTAGAGTCACGTGAAAAAACTCCACATTGCCGTTCAAATGCCGTTGCATCTGTGATTTTTATTGAGTATACATTCTCCTTTAGCATACCACAAAGAATAAGTCAAATCTTAATTCTTTCGAAAAAAAAAACATGCGTAATCTGTAGAGGCAAAATATATAGTTAAAAAATTTCCTGTGTCCAGACTTAGAGGCAACGTGTATTTCATTATTTTTATGATATTATTAGGCAAAAGCAGGGGTCCGACTTTAGGTGATTAGAATTTCGGCTCGAACCATTTATTTCGTCCACGGCAGGTATTTTTACCTGGGATTATATTGCAGCAATAATGACATAAATAATAATAATAATAACCAGGGATTATATTGCAAAAAAAAAAAAAAATGCAGTAATAATAACATAGCACGTGGAAGTAGAACAATCTGCCACTGTGAACGAAATGCAAAATTCGGTTTTAAATTCGAATCACCTGAAGAAGGTCAGAGTGTACAACGGCCGAAATTTTGTAAATTTGGCAGTGAAGATGAGGATAACAATTTGAATAATAAGTAAAAATGAAAGGTTCTATTTCCATTTCTGAGATGAGGTGTTGTAACTATTTACACTATTTACATTGTTCGGACTGCATTCCTCATCTTTATTGTCATATTCAAAATGGTTAAACCGTTGTACGCCTTCTCCATGACACATGGCCGAATGGCTGAAAGTGTCAGTTGAAGTAATCCAGTGACTGGACCCAATACCTGGACAGATTAAAAGGGAACAAAAAATCTTGGAGAGTTGAGTTACTAAAAGGAAAATAACAGAAAATGAGATATCCAAAAAAGGCATGGCACGTGGAATTAGAACAATCTACCCCAGTATACTAAATAAAGGTTTCAGTTCGAAATAACGACATATATCACCTGAAGAAGGCCGGGGCGCAGTATAGCTGAAACGTCATGAATATGACAATAAAGAAATCCGAACAATGTAAACAGTGTAAAATAAAAGGGATTGCTCGAAAAAAAAATACGAAATAAAAAACTTCAGCGATGGTTTTCAGTAAGAAGAAAAAATTAAGCTAATGAAGTGAAATAAAAAAAA